GTTAGGTATTATTTTGGATCCAAACCATAATTATTATTCTCAAATAATTATTTCAAACAAAACCATAGTTCAAATTTTATTTTATTTAATAAATACAGAAGCAAACTGAAAGTCCAAACTCACATCAGCCAGAAACAATTAAGTTTTATTATAATATTTCATTGAAAAGTTATTTGTAATCATATTTTCAGATCCCTCGTTTAAAAAGCACCAAGGATGATTTCTGGTTAAGATATAAAACTAATCATTGAAATTGTAACTATTTATCGCCTTTCGATGAAGCCACAAAGGAGATCTCGGGTTCCCAGTACATTACTGCTAACCTTGTTATCCCCTTTGTGTCTATTATCAAAAGATCTTTAAAAAAACCTCAAGCCAAACCTTAGTACAGCTTAATTGTCATGCTAAAAGTTTATAACTAGCTTTCAAGAGAGGGGCATTAAGCTTTTACGAAACCCCCTGCTTTGCCATGCTACAATCACGGACCCCAGGTTCAAAAAACTATATCTGAATCCGACTATAGCTGAGACAGTCACATCCAATTTAGGCTTGAAAATTAGGGCGTACCTCACGGAAATCAAAAAACTTTCTCTTTTCTGCTCCTTCCAGAATAAAGAAGCCAAAGTGAGTTTAACATCAAACCCTCTTTGGTCTTTACACGATCTGGAGTTGGTGAACAGTGGTTCCAGTTCAAGCTTTCAGGACACACGGATTCAAAGTTTTTTTCCAAATAAACTGACTCTATATCTGCAGCAGCCTTTGCTGATGAGATTAAGTGATCCGTTGTCATTCTGCGAGCAGAACAGAACCTGTATGTCAGGCTTGGCTTTTATAACTTAAAAAATACATGTCGTTGGTCGGAAGTTCGGTGGCATCAGAGAGACTGGTATCATCATTGAATGATATTGTGTTGAATAATGAGTTTTTCTCAATAGGCTTCATGAAAAATACTGGCCAACATAATGCGAAATCCATTTCATATAATATATTCTATTGGTAACCTTCTAACCCATACTTTTTTAGGTAAAATATTACTTCATTCTACTTCTATTATACTTTTATTGTATATGATTGAAATCTTCTTTTTGCAGTACCATCTCCTATCGGAGGTTGGCTACGTTGGCTGCAGCTCTGAACAACTGTATTGAACGTACATATACCACTCCCTTAAATTTCTTACTTACTTACTCTTACTTACTCCGTGGCGTTACAACCCTTCGTGGGTTTTAGCCGACTCGACAACATGCCTCCACTGTTTTCTGTCTTGAGCAACCTCCATCCAAAATTCTCCACGCCCATAGTGCTTAAGTCTCCTGCTATATTATCTCGCCACCGGAGACGAGGGCGTCCGCGTGGTCTCCTTCCAGTTGGGACTTCCTCCCCTTAAATTTCGCAACCAGGAAATCCTCCTACGTCCCACATTTCCCTTTCCCGAGATTTTTCCTTGAATTATGAGTCCAAGCAGAGAGTACTTTTCTCCTCTCATTATGTGGCTTAGATATTCCAGTTTTTTCGGTTGTATGGTTTTTATGACTTCGCATTCCTTCCCCATCTTCAGCAGAACATCTTGATTTGTTACTTCTTCTGTCCATGGTATTTTCCACATTCTCCTGTAACACCACGTCTCGAATGCCTTAGTGGTTTTAATATTTATCTTTTTCAGTGTCCAGGCTTCCATGCCGTACAGCAGAAAGAAGAAAACATATCACCTTAACATTCTAGTTCTTAAGTTTATATTTATGTCCCGGTTGCATAGGAACTTTTTTCATTTTGACAAACGATTGTCTCTCTCTATTCGCCTCTTGATTTCCCTTGTCTGGTCATTAGTATCAGTGAAGTAAACCCTTAAATATTTGTAGGACGTAATTCTTTCAACTGGCTGATTATTTATGGTTAAATTCACATTGTTGTATAGCTTCTTTGTTACCATCATGAATTTAGTCTTTTTGATGTTCAGTTTCAGACCATACTAACTGTTATGAGGGTTTATGTTTTCCATCAAAAACTGTAAATTTGCTAGGTTATCTGTTACTATTAGCGTGTCATCAGCGTATCGTATATTGTTAATTAACTCTCTGTTAATATGTTTATTCTAATGTTTTGCTCTAGGAGCACTTCCTGACACATTGTTTCACTATATATATATATATATATATATATTATATATATATATATATATATATATATATATATATATATATATATATTGAATAATAATAGTGGAAAAAGCACACAACCCTGACGCACACCTCGACGAATCTCAATTTCTTCGGTTAACTCATTATCAACTTTGATTTTTGCTGTTTGTCCCCAGTACAACCTGGGTATGCTGTTAATGTCGCGACTGTCGATGTTTTTGCTTCTTAGGATTTCATACAGCTTTTGGTGTCTGACTTTATGGAAAGCCTTTTAAAAATCTATGAAACCTACGTAGAGGTCTTGGTTTACATCCATACATCTTTGCATTAACACACTCAGACCAAACAAAGCAATTATTGCAATATGTATATATTAATCTTACGCCATATTATATTTAATTATAATCAATAAATATATAATAATAATAAAATATAATAATTAATAGAATACAATGATTTTATTAAAAATTGTGTTTTATTTACATTGATATTGATGTTCTTTCGATAGTACTAATTTTGATCATATTGATATCGAGTCGAATAAACTATCGCAAACTAAAGTGCATTGTAAATGTAACTTTGTAACCTATTTTATTAAAAAAACCGAAAACCGATTTTTTGAGCGGTTAGAACCGCCCGGTTAAACCGTAAGAAAAAAAACCGGTATACCCGAAAACCGGTGTTTTGTCAAAAGCCGCCATCCCTAGTACCCATAGATGTTGAGGATATAATAGATGATGATAATGAGTCGGTGGCAGATCGTGATTATTTTGAAGTCAGCGATCATGACAAAACTCGGAAGAAGACATTGAAGGTGAAGCGCATGTAGAAAATGAAGACAGCTAACCAGGTGAGAGTTTTTCTTTTTATTTTTGTGGGAAAGATAACACGAAATGGAAAAAATAATGTCCTCGTAAAAACGTTCACACTAGGCAAGAAAATAGAATAACCCATATCCCCTCTATACCAGAAATTTTACCAGTAAAGAGGGTTCACCCCTCTATACCCGAAATTTAAAAACATTCAAAGAATGCTGGTTAATACTAATAAGCGAAGATATGTTATTTCGCATTGTAGATAATATTAATATTTATATACGAAAAGTAACAAATAACGAAGTTTCTGATTACAGAAAAAAACCAAAGACTTTGAATGAAATTAAAGCTGTTATCGGAATCCTATACCTAGCAGGTACATTATATTGCAACAGATTAAATCTTTGGAATTTTGGACTACTGATGGAAATGGTAATTCTATATTTCCAGCCGTAATTGGCATAAATCGTTTTCATTTTTTTCTGCAATGATTAAACTGCTCAGTAACATTTGTCAAATATCATATAGCGCTGGTGAGTATGTGACACTGGATGAAATGTTATGGGTCTTCTCAACAAGCCAGCAAAATATGGTATCAAAGTTTTAGGTCTTAGTAGATGCCAGAACTTATTACACCATCAATCTGGAGATTTACGCAGGGCTTCAGCCGGAGGGTCCATATATAATTGGTAACAAAACTGACGATGTTGTACAACGATTGTGTAAGTCTATTTTTAATTCCAGAAGAATTATTACGATAGATAATTGATTTACTGGAATTGAAATAGTGGAAAAGATGCTTAAAGATCATAAGTTAGCAGTTGATAGAACTGTACGGAAAAATAACAGATACCGTCGGCATTCATTCAACATAAAAATAGAGTCATATATTCAACATTATTTGGCTTTACCGAAAACGTTACTATTGCTTTATATATTCCAAAAAAAAAAACAGATGTGTATTGGTAGCTTCATTTTACATCACGACGATAACATCGATAAACAAACAGCTAAACTAAAGAAACCTGAGATGATAAAATTTTATGTGACCAAAGGGGGTGTAGATTTTGCCAATCAGTTATGTAGTGAATATAATTGTACAACCAATACCTGCCACTGATCTATGGTCATATTTTATGGACTACTTAATCTAGCTGGTGTAAATACTACTTTCTACTACTACTACTTTCCGTCGGCCTTGGGGATTCCAATCCAGCGCTGTCCTGGCAATGTCATTTGGCGGTCTACGGAGTGTGTGGCCCAGCCATCTCCATTTTCTTCGCCTTATTTGCTTTATGACATTTTCTTGGTTGCTTTGGTTCCATAAATTTTCATTGGAGATTCGGTTAGGCCAAAATATACGAAGGATTTTTCGTAACGCTCTATTGATGAAAACTTGTAATTGGTGTACTATGGGTGCTGATATCTTCCACGTTTTGCAGCCATACAGTAATACAGCTTTTACATTTGTGTTGAAGATTTTTAATTTCGTGTTAGTTGGGTAAATCCTGGATTTCCATATGTTGTTAAGCATGTTGTAGGCGTTGCGAGCCTTATTTATTCTTTCATGTACATCACGCTCTGTACCCCCATTACAGTCAATTATGCTGCCTAGATATACAAATTCCGCTACTCTCTCAATTTTCTGGTCGTTGATCATAATAGGTTGGTTGTTTCTGGTACCAAATCGCATTTCTTTGGTTTTGTTGATGTTTATTTCTAGACCAACCTTCTTTGATTCTTCTTGTACTTTGTTTACTTGGATAAATACTTATATACTCTATAATTATAACAAACATAGTACTATCCCTGGACGACTTTTTTTTAAAACAGTGATCATTGCAGTTGATGAAAAACTATTTGATGGAAAGAGCTGAAAACATGCATTTGCCACGCCAAACCCGAAATGATGCAAGAAAATTTGCTGAAATGAAGCCCTAAGAACAGCAGAGAACAGAGAGAGCAATCACAAATCTACGGCACCATAAAAACAAGAAAACATATTTTGAATAGAAAGATTTTGAGGAAGACTGTATATTCTACTTACCAATCAACATATCAGTAGCTGCTAGCGACGCTATAAAGTAATTGCTAGGCTGTCTAATATTTCTGTCAACGATGAAAGCTAGTAAAACTAAAATATTTCCCGACACCGTAAGTATAATACAAATTCCCAAACTTATGGCAATTAAAATGGTCTGCCATAATTTGAAAGGTGCCAAAACGGGTGTTAATGTATTGTCTAGGTTGCCATCACCGGATCGATTGGTCTCGGCAGTGCTGTTGAGTAATCTGTACCCGCTACCAATCCAGTCTGAACTGTCAAAAATATTTAGTGGATCTTCAGTATCCCATGGAATATTTTGGGATGAATTAAACGACTCGTAGCATTCTGTGAGAGTCAAGAAACCGCTGTAGATTGTTTTGCAGAACTTTTCGCGCTGCTTTTGACGTTTCCTGAAACAAAATACAAGAATTAATATGGATAGATAACTCCTACATTATTATTTAGTGGCAAACATCTACTATCTATATTTTCAGTGAAAATGTACGATACTACAGGGGTATACAAATATAACAGGTTTTATGTTTATATGTAGTTCACAGAGATAAAGCTTTTTTCATCGTACACCATTCAAGATGCATAAGCACTTGTGTTTACTCCATAGAGGAAACATCGTAATAGACCCGACTTTCTTGTTTTGAGATTGTAAGCAAGTTATTTGATAAGCTATAAGTAGAGCTTCAAAAATCACTCGAAAATGTAACAATTGGAATAAAAGTCAACGGCAGAGCCATCAACAATATCAGACATGCCAATGATACTATACTAATTGCAGAGAATATACAAAATCTACAGACACTTTTAGATAATGTAGTAAATGCTAGTGAGAAAAGCGGATTAACGCTTAAGGCTGTTTTAGCAGTCAAAACACACTGCGATTTGAAATGGGCGTATCACTTACTTTTCCTCACTGCTTACGCCAGCCGACGACGCGACGGGTACAGCTGTTTTCGCAGTGGCGCCGGCCGGCGGGTGGTTTAATGACAAAAAATGCATTATTCTCCATTCAAATTACTTTTGTCAGGAATACCTTTTTTGTTTGATTATCGTAGATGTTTTAAAAATAATTATCACATTTTTAATTTATATGTCTTAGCTAAATATAGTATTGAATATAAATTTGTGAAATGTGGCTGCAAAAAACATCATGGTGTTTATTTATAATAAATTTAAAATAACATAAAAATATTATTATCAAAAAAAATACAATTTGTTGTCACAAACAACTAAAAAAACAAATAAATTTCGCAGTTATAGCTTGAAATTGATTTCAAATCAAACTAACTGGCCGTACGTTCATGAGATTTGACGTCACGCAGCCTATAACGGTGAAACTAAATGCCAATGATGAGTAACACGTTTCACTATTAGATTTCGGTATTTTTTAGCAATTTTCTTCAAAGTTTGAATGCGCTTTTCTCGATTATTACTGGACATAAAAAGGTGAAAAAAAAAACAACGATTACAGAAAAAAAAACTCTTTCAAGTGATGGGCGTAAAAAGTTTGGTTATAATAGAACGTTAAACTGTATAATCCGATATTTCAAAATAACTTTCAAAAAAATTAAAAAAGTAAAATTATCAGTTTAAAGGCAACATAATTTTGAATAACGTGTCCAAATTTCGAGATATTTTGTCGGTAAATAACAGAGAAAACACTGTATCTAGGTTTTGGTGTACCGATAAAACAGCCTTAATGCTAATAAAACAAAATTTATAACAATTGCCAAAACACAACAACAAGACAGTTTAAACATAAGAGGAGTTCCAATAGAAAAATTAAAAAAAATACAGATATCTTGGTACAATTATTAATGAAAATAACGAGTATACAGAAGAAATAAAAATAAGAATTGGACAAGCTAGAGCAACATAAGACGAGAAAAGTATTATGCAGTAGAGACCTTAGTTTACAACTCAATTAGAATATTACGTTCTTATGTGTTTTCGGTGCTTCTGTATGGGGTGGAGGCCTGGATCTTAAAGAAAAAGGTGAGCGATCGACTTGAAGCATTCGAGATTTGGACCTACCGAAGAATATTAAAAATAAGTTAGGTAGACCGAATAACAAATGTTGAGGTCCTCAGAAAGATGACAAAGGAAATGTAAATCATGAATACGATTAAGATAAGAAAGTTACAGTATCTCGGCCACGTTATCAGAGGGGATAAATATGTGTTGCTATAAACCATAATGCAGGGATAAATACAGGGAAAACGAAGTATTGGAAAAAGACGAAAAAGTGGTATAATTGCAGTTCCGTCGACTTGTTCAGAGCTGCAATCTCAAAAGTGAAAATAGCTGTGATGATTACCAATCTCCTTAGAGGAGATGGTACCTAAAGAAGAAGAAGAAGTAGAGCGAAATATTAGTAAGGGTACAGCAGTAAAACATTAAGACATAAATAAAAAATACTTATTTTTGCTGTCTATGTGGGTAATAATTTATTAAGGATCTAAAAGGTTCTTAAAATAGTGTAGTTATTCTATCTGTCGTTATGTCTTCTTTTTCCTCTTCTTCTTCTTCTTCTTCTTCCACTTTATAAGCAATTCTGCTTGTTCATTGGCGGATTAATACCTCTATAAAAGGTTGTCACTCCATCTTTTGCGCGGTCGGCCGATACTTCTTCTGCTGGTTGGTATTTTGCTCTTGCTATTTTGACGACACGGATCTTCTCCATTCTGCTTATGTGGTTATTCCAGTCTTTTTATTTCTATTTTGTGTCTTTTCATGTATACACTTTGAGTTACATTTTCTTTCAATATCTTCACTTCTCTTTCGATCTCTCAGCGTATTTCCTGTAATTATTTTCAATACTCTCATCTCTGTCGTTCCAATTGCCTTTGCGTTAGATTATATCAATTATGAGTCTTTATGTCGGTGTGCGTCAAAGAATCAGATCGACGACGTATAGACGCCTTTGAAATGTGGACATGGAGACGCCTGCTTCGATTTCCATGGACGGCTCGCCGTACAAATATCTCGGTTCTGGATGAAATTAAACCGGATCAGCGTCTCTCTAGTACCGTTTACTCTAGAATTTTAAAGTTCTTTGGCCATATCCATCGAAGTGATCACAAAATGGAGCGGTTGGTGGTCCAAGGAAGGCCTCAGACTCAACGCCAACGCGGAAGATCTCCACAGCGATGGGCGGACATTACTAAAAAGCTTCTCAATAAACAGTATACTGAGGCAATACATATAACTGATGACCGCGACCAGTGGAGAAATATTATCAATCAAACTGTCCGAGCTGCTGAAGCCCAATTATGAACCACAACACATCTACTAAGATGTTAATGACTGTGATGATGATGTCGGTGTGAAATATTTAATCTTGATGCATAGGTTTCTTTTCATATGATAAAGAACACTATTGAATTTGGGGTCAACAAGTTAAAGATCACTACAGGTTTGGCAAATATCTCTTCTAGATTTTCCAGGTCCTCTGCTATTAGGACAGTGTGATACATACACGCGTGGTGTTTTGTTTCAGAGGGAGAGAGAGAGAGGGAGAGAGAGAAAGAGAAAGAGAGAGAGAGAGAGAGAGAGGGAGAGAGATAAAGAGAGATAGTAACATATGGGATTTTTATTTGAGTTGACTATCGAAGTGACTTTTTTGAGTTATTTTACCTTCTACTTTTTCTTTAACCAATAATCTCTCCATATCTTTCTTTTGTCTGACTATGTGTCCAAAATACCTGAATATAGGTAAAAGAAATAATAAATAAGACTTACATTAAGTTTAATTTAACTATCTAGACGACCGGTTTCGCTTTCTACAATTTGCAAAGCATCTTAAGGTCTGTCGATACAAAGTTAATTAAATGCTGAAATAATAAAACCTATATTAGGGTGTTGTTTTATAAAGATAAACAAAAAAAAAATGATATAAATTACAATAAATATGCAAATATTACATGTCTGTGTGTTTTTTTTTTAATGAATAAACTGTTTAAGCAAACAAAGTAAGTAAGACCAACAAATTGGCATAAAATTGTCTATTGAATTGTAATAAATTAGTAAATAAACAAAACATTACTTACATGCCGGGACACTATTAATTAATGGTTGAGAGAACAGAGTTCAAACTATCCTGTGTTCCTAAATGGAGATCTTCAGTTTTTACTATTGTAATTGTTTGACAATCAACGGGGAAGTCTCTTGAGGAGATAGATTTTATCCAATGAAGTAGAAAATAGGTGTAATGTGATTGTTTGCTAATGGAAAGTGATGTTCTGTATTATTTAATTCTTTCAAAGTTATTTATATTTTTAGTTATTAGTTATTTATATATTAAATACAAATAACTTTGAAAGAATTAAATAATACAGAACATCACTTTCATTTAGCAAACAATCATATTACACCTATTTTCTACTTCATTGGATAAAATCTATCTCCTCAAGAAACTTCCCCGTTGATTGTCAAACATCTCCAATAGTCAAAACTGAAGATCTCCATTCCACATTACAGGATAGTTTGAACTATGTTCTCCCAACCATTAATTAATAGTGTCCCGGCATGTAAGTAATGTTTTGTTTATTTACTAATTTATTACAATTCAATAGACAATTTTATGCCAATTTGTGGGTCTTACTTTGTCTGCTTAAACAGTTTATTCATTAAAAAAAAACAGACATGTAATATTGGCATAATTACTGTAATTTATATCTTTATCTTTTATTTTTCTTTATAACCTTTAAAACACCCTAATATGTGTTTGATTATTTCAGAATTTAATTAACTTTGAATCGACAGACCCGAAGATGCTTTACAAATTGTAGAAAGCGCAACCAGTCGTCTAGATAGTTAAACTCACACAAGCAATACATTCATGATTTTACCTGAATATATTTTAGTTAATGATTTTGGGAAGCCTAGTGGTTATATCGAGTTCTGTTAAAATTGAGATATTTGTGTATTATGCTGTCCAGTGTATGCGCATTATTTTAGGGCACATCAACATTTCAGAAACCATTATACGTTGTGAGTTAACCTTTTTACGATCCAAGTTACTACAGTATAGGCAGCGAGATAAACGATAAGCGCACGTGCAAGACGTAGTTTGGTATTCTTAGTTATGGACGTATCTTTCCAGATTTAAGTAAGTTTGTAGATTCCAGATTTAAGTAGATAGTTAGTAGATAGGCACTTGAAGTTGAAAATAAGCAAGAGACTTTTGCCGCCTATTCTGTATGCGAATTTGTATCAGTCCGAGTCTCTGACGACGCAGGATATGCAGAAATAACTCTATCAGACTCTATTGATACCGATTCGTGCACAGAAGATTTGACTTTCAATTTATCAAAACAATAGCGACGCTTTAGATGAAATCGAAAACTTTCGCCTATATATATATATATATATATATATATTATATATATATATA